CTAATTCTTCATAACCATAAACAAATAGCCGAACTGCTGTCTAAAAACATAGCAAAACCAGAATGAATACAATTCGCTGTTTGACATCCGCTATTTGGAGAATATCTGCAGAAGTAAACGAGCCTTATAGTATCATGATTAGGCCGTGAAACAGGCAAATGGAGACGGGAACTTGAAATCGATGAAGGCAAGCATGTGTTAGCCTTTCTTTAAACTAGGGATTATTTGCTATTATTTAAATTATGCAGATCTAAGGGGTGTTATCTGCCACAGCTTGGTGGATTTAACACCCTCCTCATAATTCTACAGATCATACTCAGCTTTAATTAATAATTCACTAGGGTTCGTTAAGGCGTCCGTTCAATGGTTTAAGGCTTACTTGACAGAAGGCAAATCCTTGTATAGTGAAGGGGTCAACATCTAACCCCCAATCCGTCTCGTTTGGAGTCTCGCAAGGTTCCTTGATCGGTCCGTTGCTGTTTATAATCCACATCAATATCACCTGCCTTTGGTGGTAAAACATTTAAAATCCAATTGTATGCGGATGATACCCCCCTAGTATAAGTAAGTATATAGTAGCTCCTCACCGACATAGAATCCATTTCATCTGAAGATCTTTCCATGATCTTAGGCATATAACAATAATTTCCTCTACCTCAACTAAAGCAAAACTAAGGTAATGTTGCATGATTGGTACTCATCAGAGGTTTGTCCTAGTTGATAGTTTCATAGTGATGGCAGGGGACACTGACTTGTCACGAGTCTATCAGTTTAAGGCTGGATTCATACCTCTCGTGTGATGACCACATAGACTACATCGGGCACATACTATCGGCAAAGTTAGGCATGCTTTGTAAAGCGTGCAAGGTCATTCCGCGTGAGTCGTGTTTAACACTTTATAACGCTATGATACTTCCAGTACTTTACAATTTACAATTCCTTTCGATTAAAAAAAAAAAGACACTTAATTTCCATTGAAAAAATTCATTCTATTAAAAAATATATTTATGCGAAAAAAAAAAACGGTTCATTTCAACTAAACTAATTTATGAGCTCACGCCATTATCACACACGCTTGGGTAGCGTTTAAACGGCAGTCATCAATGAAATCCCCTTGTGGAATTTTGTGGAAGGGTGTCCTATACCTCTTACGCATCTGTGTACGGACTCTAAAATCTCAAAAAGCAATGTTCCAATCCAAGTAATAGTAATGTGATAAGGTTCCTCCTTTTCTGAGAGCTTCTTGGCTAGGCGTTAGAGAAAAAAGTTGCAGTCGGCTCCCATCCCACCGTTGGTTTCAGGGGGGTGAAAGATCCCATTTCAACGTCCTGCACCCTCTGCTGGTATTTCCGTTTTTTCTCCTCCTCCTGCTCCTTAAAGATTGTGGATGTTGCTTTTCCCTGGTTGCACATGGAGTTAACATGCGTTACACTGACATCAAAAAATTCTGTAACTCCACGAGACCAAAAGCCCCCTGCCTTGGAGACCAGTCTTGCCTCAGGGCTTGTTAACGCGCTTCTGAGGTTGAATCGTACATTATGAGGAGGTTGCAGTCGTGGTTTGACTTCAACGCTGGTGCCAATCTTACCAATAAGTGAGGTAAGTAGGTTGGGAACACCATCGTGTCTCTGCGCCACGAACCCTTCCCTTTGGCATGACAGGGCATGGCAGACGGTATACTTCTCACCACAAAGACACTTGCTTGGTAAGTCGGACAGGGGGGGCATATTATAATTTATTTATTTATTTAGCTTTGCCTAACTAGAATACAATCTTTATACGTGAATACATAAAAATTATTAGGCAGGGAGACCACTACAGCCTAACCAATTACAGTTGATCCCTCGTTAATTAAAAAACAAAACAAAAAAATAACTAAAGCTAAAATTAAAATGAAACAAAACAGAAGTTCAAATTGCTAGAAGCAGCACGTCGGCGGGCACAGTAGAGTCCTGTACAGTACCGCAAATGATCCCCAACCGCAAATGATCCCGAGACCGCAAATGATGCCCAAAATGGACCGCAAATGTTACTTGACCGCAAGTGATCCCCAAAGTCGACCGCAAATGATCCCGAAAGAAAAGTAGGAATGGTTTAGACTCGAGTTAGCGAGTGCAAATGCAATGCTTTTCATTGCGGCTAAATAAGGGTTGAACAAGGTTGTTTAATTTTCTTTAAAAAGCTGGATCCGAATGATTATAAGCGACTTTCTTTTCGTCCGTGAATGTGACGGTTCCTACGACGTTTTGTCACGCGATAACTACCGCTTGCCTCACTTTTGCATAATTCATTACCAGGTTTAGATTCCTGGTAACTGTCTCTAGCAAAGGCACAACAAATGGATATACATATAAGCGTCAACATAACTATTCGCAACATGTTCATCAGCTGTAAGCAAGTTGCCCTTTCGAAATAAACCGAAACCTGTGGACATTGATAAGTTCGGGGCATTTTGACGTGTGTTTGTTTCGTAATGGGCACTCCCAGGCCTGGGGCACTCCTAAGTTACGAACCAATGTCTTGCTGTTTTTCACGTAAAATTAACACTTCAGAGAAAAATCAAAACTAAATATTCTGAAAATTAATTCGACACTTCTAAAAAGATCAGTAAAGTCAATAAAGCTCGTGTAATGTAGAGGATGCCCGGCTTTGTTATATTCCTCAGTAGACAAGTTGAGCTTGGGCGTTAAAATAATAAGAGTTTTTTTCTGTGTAACCTTCTGCCTGTCTTAAATTTTCAGCGACGAAACAGTTCTTGAAAGAAAATTGAAGCAATTGACAAAGGAAGAAGTATACGGTTGATACCATATCCTTTTCAGATTTATTCTGCTTTTTTTCGCCTTGTATAAATTGACCTGAGATGTAGTGTCCTCCTTCCCTTTTTCTTTAGAAGACGCGAGAAAAAGGTTCCTTTTTTTATAATTAGTCCTTTTTTGTAATCAGTCCCATAAAATCCATTCCATTCCTCAAGTTCTCAAGGGATCATTTGCGGTCAACTTTGGGGACCACTTGCGGTCTCGGATCATTTGCGGTCCATTTTAGGGATCATTTGCGCTCTCGGGATCATTTGCGGTACTGTACAGTCCTCGCTATGTTGCACCTGGGGCAGATTGTTCTCCAGGTTCTGATGTTGTTAATGTCGTACAGGGCCAGCGACTTATTGTAATATTGAAGTAGTGAACACTTGAATGAGGCTAGAGAGATGTGACTTGTGCGTAACTCAGCGGGCAGAACATTCCATGTGCGGCACGCGCGTATGAAAAATAAGCGTTGATAAGTAACAGTTCTACTTCGCTTAGGGATATAACTAATAGCATTGCTGCTCGATGACCTGGTAGATCTCGTTGATTGTCTAGTTGCAGGCAGAGCTTCACTATCTATGAAAACTAAGTTATTGACAGCTTTATAGAAAAAGACTATATCCAAAAATTCATGCCAGTATGAGATAGGTAACAGATTTGTTAGTTGGGTGCTTTGGATGTACCTAGAAGCTCGGCGCACAAAGCCAAGGAGTTTGTTGGCTTTCGCACACTGTTCAGTCACTTGCTTGTCCGAGGTAAGATTGCTTGACACCCACACACCAAGGTCTTTCTCTGTATCGCAAATTCCAAAGGTGTTTCGTTGATGTTGTAGGTGGGTTGTACAGGTGATTTTTTGCGGGTAATGTTATACCTTAAACAGGTGGGCAGGTGGGCTGTACAGGTGATTTTCTGCGGGTGATGTTATACCTTAAACGCAGAGAGTCTCTGACAGTTGAAATTGTTTATTTAGATGCAACGTAGCACGTAAAACATTTTCACCTGAGAGTGAAACTGTTAATGTGGCGTATTTTGGGTGTTTCTCTAGTTTTCACAGCTAATGTTTTTTGTAGCATGTGTTGCTACCAAGTTTTTCAGGGAATATGTTTACGTATTTGTGGGACGGTAATGTGTGAATGATTGTGTTATTTATTTGGTGTTGCTGTACACCTCTGGGGTGCCAGTATTAAAACTCATCAGTAGTTGTCATTACCACATCGATGGGGTTTCGTGGTTCCAAGGACTATTCGATACTTTTGTCTCACTCTCGGGTCCTAAAGAGATGACTTATTCGCAAGCGATTTGTCACAAATGGCATTCCCTTGTTTCCTTGACTTCTACGTCGGGCTGTGATATAGTCATCTTCTCTAGGCCTGGATCGGAGGAAATCCTCTTTATTTCCGGTCGTTACTTATCCATTCCTGGTTCCTTTTTTTATTGTGGTCGTGAGTTGGTTCATGTTTTGGGCCTCTTTTTTCAATGCAGCCAGCGACCGCAGGGAAGAAGATCCAGTAGATGTGGTCAGATCGAACTTCCGCCCCGGGTCTAGAGGAGATGACCAATATCGAATTATTGAATGAATGATAATTAACAATTATTCTTTGAAATCTAGGGGAATAGTGGCAAAATATTTACCGAGCCACGAAGTGGCGAGGTAAATATTCCTAAAGCCACTATTCACCGAGATTGAAAAGAATAATTGTTTTAGTATATACACACGAAGCGATCTCAACAAAATCAGAGAGGAAACCATTAAAAAGTACGATTTGATTGACAGATCAGGTCAGCTAGACACGCGACAGTTTAAAAATAGATCTTTGTAGAATTTTCAAACATGGCAATTCACAAGCTTATCACTTCGCAAACAACAACGTAATGACTTAAATGGAACCGCTAAAGGTTTGAATTGTTTCCTTACCTGAGAAGAAAAGAAGAGCTTTGTTGTTTTCTGTTGACTCGCCAAGTTTATACCCGAAAAAGTTTGTTGTGTCGTTCTTCGCATGAAGTGCTGACAAAAATGTGAAAAATGGCGATTCGGTTCCTCGAGATAAGACGTCGTCTTCATGTAGCATTCTTTCTCGTGTTTACTTGAAATGTAGAATTTCTGCAAACATTTGCTTTCAAATTTGTTTGTCATAAATAAAATTCGTTTTTGGGCCAGATTTTTCATGTTAGGAAACGCTGAGTTCACCAAACGGCCTCTTCTAGGCGAATAAACGGGAGTTGTAAACAATCCATCGACCACAAAACTCAACATCAGTGAATGGAAAAACGCCGTTTTGAATCCGTCGAAGTCTTTTCTTGCCAGAAAAAAAGTCAACCCTAGGATTTTGTCGACTTTCAAAAGATCTTTCTCTAAGAAAATGGCACAAAAACCGAGCTCACACATTATCCACTCGCTGGGAGGTGAATATTGTTGAATAGTTCGAGATAGCGAACCAATCAGATTGCTTAAATCACCAAGATCACTGAGTGTGTATATACTAACTTAATTTATCCACGGTTTTAGCAAGAAAAAACGTACACTTATCCCGTTAATAGACAGTTCAACCTTTAGAGAGCCGCTAGGGAATAGGTTTTCGAGAATTACAACAGTAGCGAAGCGAAATGGGAGAGAAGAATCAAAGAATGTAGAAAATTCACTTCGCAATGCAGACGGTCATAATTCGAGATTTTTGGAGCAAACAAATTGCAGATGTAAGCTGGAGCGACATTATTAGTATGCTTGTACATTTTAAAATACCAGTGAGCCTCCCTTCAGTCTTGTTTATCTCTTCTAATCGATAAGTTGTTTCAACCGAGCGAGTTTACAGGCTGTCTGGAATCTGTATCATAGCCTGTCAGTGATTTGATTCAGTGATGACTCAAACAGCACGATTTGCTTCGGTGGTGTTTGGGGTTTACCACTCAGCTAATGCGACAAGCTATCAAAGGCAGCACCACTGTGATCAGAGTGTGGTTCAATAAGACCTTTTGTATAATTTGACTGCAGTCTGTCTGGGGGAAACAGATCAGGTGTGACTCGCTTAAGCGACCAATACTCTAAGCCCAGTCTTTCTTACGACTTGATTTCATGCATGTGTGCCCTCACAGCGAGATTTTTGCCAATTCTTGAGTGCGAGAGATTTGCTACGAATGTTCTGCATTGTTTGGACGTTTAGGCTTATCGTAAAGTCGATAAGCCATAGATCAATTATGTTTCAATCACTATTGCAGATCTGTGTAACGTTATCGTTTCGTCCGCGGATATTCTTGGTCGGAGAAGCAGCATTAAACATATCGGTAGATCATTTCTTTAGATGAAAAGGAAAGGGGTCGCTTATTGTCCCTTGATCATGAGGTACGCCACAGTGAAGGGAGAGCTCGCGCAGGATAGATGCCTGGTTACTTACAATACGTCTTTATATACGGTTAGTTTGGAGAGAATTTATCCACTTCAGGGCATCGTCAGCGCTGTGATCAATAGTATCGAAGACCTTCTTCAAATCTATAAAGTTTGCCCCATTAAGAGTACACTCTTTTTATATTAAACGTATAAAGCTATCGTTTGTTATTTTAATGGACCGGGAGAGTGCCGTCGGAAGCGAGGGTAGGTGCCTTGCCTACATAGATGAATTTCATTTAGTAGGTAACTGGATGACTTTTTTGGAACAGTGATCCTTTGGGAAAGAAAATACTCTGTTGGCATTATTTGCATTGAAAAATGGGTTAGTATCGACACTGGGAATTTAGCGAGCCAGAAGTTGGCTAATGGTGTGAAATGGCTATATTTTAAAAATGCTTCAATAACATCATCCAGCAAAAATTGTTTTCCTGTTTTGGCCTGGAACACTGTAATTGATTTACTTAATTTGTAGAGACTGAAGCTCTTTTTAAACGCCAAGTTTTACGACGATCACTTCCGTCTTAATATGGTTGTTGGTCTTGTTACGCTACCTTTGAACTGTTCGCAAATCAGGAAATTGCTCGTAGAAGCCGCTTTTCTTTTTATTCTAAAGTTTCGTTTTTTGTATTTTACGCACGAGGGTAGAGTACATGGCTGCTGTTGGTCTTTCTCGACCATAGATGATGTAAATCAAATTTAACATGAAAGCTATTTTGTTAAAAATTTAAAAAAACTATTTATATATTGCAATTATCTTAAATTATGTAAATCTGGGTTTCAAAAACGAGGATTCCTAATTGTAAACTATGTGCAAATTCATAAGCAAATCTGATGACTGGATTTTGCATAAACCTACTGAATTTATTTAACAGTTTTAGGCTTGTTTTAAACATCCATATTGCCATGTCAAAGATCAAAATCTTACGTTTAACTAACGTAATGTCTTATAATATATATTTTGTCTTCACCAAATTTGATCTTTATACCGGCCGAAGGAGTCTTAAGTAACACCCCAATGAATAGTAGCGACTCACTACCTACCAAACTGTCTTCAGCCAATGAAAAGCTCGACGTTTAAACTGGGCCTTTGAAACATTTAACTCTAAAATGTCAGAAGTTGTTTGAACTCTACCACCATTCAACTGTGTAAATGACACTAACAGAAAACGTTATTCAGATCCTCGAAATATCTAGGGTCTGTCTGTAAATTTTTCAGCTCACCTTAAGTACGCAGCTAGTTTCCGTTTCAATCATGTGTAAGGAACGCGAGGCTTCTTCTTTTGACCAATACTTTCATTGATGGGGCTCTCTTTTAAGTAAGTATCTAATAAGTGGTAGCTAGTAGTTACCTGTTATGATTCAATACATAAAATTCATGTTTATTCTAAATGAACTGGATATGCCTGTCTCAGTGGTAATCGCAATTTATTGGATTATTGCATGTAATCTCCTGAAGCTTTAACTATGTTAGCTTATTCAGCATCAAGCAAGTCTTTGACAAACAACAATGACTGTTCGAGTTCTTCGACAAACTCCTCTTCATGTCTATAACAAGGGTGCTTAGGATTTGCATTCACTGTGATTGATATCGCATTTCTCCCAAACATATAATGCAATGCCATTGATCTATCTGGCAGAATACACTTGACCCCAGGCCTTCCAATAGCCTCGATCTCAGGATACCAACATGGATTGGAGGTCACGTTTTCAGCAACTTGAGGTGGCAGTATGTTGAGCAGCGGTGATCTGAGTAAATCTGCAACAGCTTGCTTAAACCTTCTCTTGATCCGTAGTTGTGGAGCATTCCTAAACGGAAGGCGGTTTGGCAGTCCCAAGTTTCTGTAAAGAGCGTCAAGATGCCAGAGGTTCATTTGGCCTTTCTTGTAACGCAAGACCTCATCTTTGTAACTTTCAATAGCTTTCTTCAGCAGAGATTTAAGCAGCACACGTTCCTGTTTTGTCATGGTTTGCAAGCTCCCTTCTGATTGGCGGGCTTTTTCGATGAATTTTTTCATGTCCGCCATACTGCTGTCCATGAATGTCATTCCACCAAACCGGAAATGCCTAGTACATAAGACGTAAGGAAACCGGAAATGCTTAGTACATGAAAAATAATGAAACCGGAAATGCCTAGTACATAAATGAGGTAAACCACATATGAGCTGCTAAAGATAAATTACGCTCAATAACGGAGATTGGAAACCATACATTTGTGAAAAGGGGGGTAAAGATTGTATCGTTGGGGTCGTCCCAACAAGTTCCAACCTTCAAACTCGCTGTTGAACATAGTAAGCAATAGCCATCCCTAATTCACTGAGTACAGTCGAAACTGCGACCAACTCTCGTAAGTGACCCGGGTGGCCACTCCTATATATTTATGAGAGCAAAGTATACAGAGTATGGTTTTTAAGGGTCTTCAACCTTAAATTTGTGGAACCATTTTTGCCCTTATCGCATGCATTTTGGTCCCGGTGTGATCCTTAGATAGGATACCTAAAATTCAAGAGCGTAAATGCCTAGCAACACGAGAAACAAATTATTTCTTAAAACTGATCCATTCCTTAGAGTATAAAGAAAGCGATTTCAGGAGGGTTTGTGTGTTATTTTTTGCTTCTCTCTCGTGTAAACAACCACCTGACACATAACTAGATATTTGTCAAGAAACTCGGCTTATATCGCTGCATATTTCAGACCATCCTTTTTTCAAATTTTCTCTTGCGACGGCCATCCTTCACGACACCTAAATTTATCATTTTCCAGTCATCTTACATCTTGAATAAAAGATGAATTCTTTATCATTTAAAAAATCTATCCACAAAACGAGACTACGGGAATGAGTTTCAACCAGAAAATGCTTTAATTAGGCATCATACAAAACCTCTCGTTGTAGGGAGAGAATAGCACTCTTCTTGAAAAGATGAACAGAAACTTGTCTTACCGTATACTAACGACTTCGTTGACACTCATACATCTTCCCGAGATCTTAGCAAGCGCAAGCTGCATTCCAGCTTGAAAGGCTCCCCCTGGCGTCACACAATGGTCTTTACACATGGACTCAAAACTGAAACCAGCGCATATTCTGAATACGTCTTGAGACATCTGTTTAAATGGACCTGATGTTCGACTTTCCTTGATGAACTCTGCTGTCTTGTGTTTGAAATATTCTTCATTTGTATCGTCCCAGATTATAGGTCTTACTTCTGGCCAGATCTTGAAGCCCTCATATCCTCCTGATAAGAGAAAAAAGATTGTGAATGGCACACTCCAAAATACGAGATATTCTGAGACCGAGCGAGACTTGGTTTATGTCAGTTTCAAATATTTGGTTTCGGTCCTACACTCACGGAACTTCCAGTTTTCCACTATTTCTTTTAAGCTAAAAATTTACCACCCAATTTATGCTGAAACTGCAACATAGCTAAAAGCTGATTTGCAAAAAAAACTCTGTGCCTTTACCAACTACTTGCTTTAACATTCCTTCAATCTTACAACCTTCAGCCGCCCTGGCTCCCAAATATCTCTGAATTTGAGCTCCATGGTCTCCACAGGACAAGCTACAGATACACATGCGTCACTTGCAAAACTTTTATGCCACTTAATTCATTTGCAGGTATCCCCTGCGCGCTCAGCGAAACTTATGTCTAACTTTAATATATACGCTTAGCCAAGGCCAATAGCCCTCGTGGTACTTTTAGGAACTGTCTTTCTAAAGTAAAGTTTTTGAGCGTGTGATTACTTGAGTACCTTAACTGTTCAGCGGACAGCTTAAAAAACACGTCATCTCAATGGGTTGCACACATGGTTAGAGGGTACCCTATTTTGACAGCTGTCAATTGATCATAACAAGATTGTCCAATATCAAGTTAAACACAATTTGTATTCTTGGACTTTAAAGGTAGTACCCTTTGTTCTTTCACGTGTAAATAAAACTTCTACAACTCGTTTGTCTATTTCTTAATACTGAAATAAAGACAAAAGTAATATGACAAAAACTCTCAGTACTGAACTTCAAGGGAGCAGAACAAGTTTCAGTAAAATTTATGTCACAACGTAACCCACCGTCTTCAGTTTCTTCTCCAGCAAGTCTTTCATTTTTCACTGCAATTCGCACAAAGTTCGTCCCTACCGTACCAGTCATTCCAGCCAAATAGTTATTGACAAATCCCGCCACACCATTACCAAACACAACCAGCTGCACGCTTTTGTCATACCAACGGTTTACGAAGTTTCCCGAATGTAGCTCGAACATGGCTTCGTTAGCTTCTCGGGGAGAAGTATCAGGGTCGAGCGCCACAACGAAAAGAGCGTCACGGAGCAGTGAAAGATTATCAACATTTCGTTGACTGAGGCACTTGAGGCGCTGTTCTTCTTGACATCTCTCAGATGGATTCAGGCTTGTGAGAAAAGCTATTGGAGTCGATTGTTCTCTTGACGCGTCCATTTCTACGATGGTTTCGAATTTCTTCTGAAACCAAATAAAAAAAATGTGTTAAAGCAAGCGCGCACGTAAAGAAAGGAAGTAATTGTCAATTACATTTGCTCGATGTTTTTTGCCTTTTCTGGTTGCTACAGAAACTTCTTAAAGACACGCTTTCGATTGACCTGCACGAATCCAAAGCTCTTATTTCATTGGTCCCTATAACCTGCATTACCTATTGTTTTCAGGGATATGGGCATTGTTATGTCACCATCGCTATCGTTTACCCAGCCAATCAAAAACCTTGTTTGTAGTAGGTGCAGGTCGGCCCGAAGACTCTCCAATTTTTCGAAATATATCTCTTTCAACGTCTTGAAAAAGCAAGGTTAAAAAAAAGAAGAAAAGAAAAGAAGAACCATCATTATGAATGATATGAACTCATCCTCCTGAATTGAGTGTCAATTTACACACCCATTGGAAACTGGGGAGAGATTACTCTAAATTGACCTCAGTTTTTTACATTTTTGTTTATCTTTTCAATTAGCTATTAAAGCCCAGGCAGCTTAATAAAAGAGTAATTATTTTCGGTTGTTAAACTTGAAATATTCTATCTGTACTTTTGGTAGTGGGTATTTTTAAAACTAACTGTAGAGCAAAATTTCAAACGTTTATCAACTTACTTTCAGCTGGCTTTTTGTGATAATCTCTTCTCGTCCTTCGTCGTCGTTGCGAATCAAATCCAGTTTATATATGTTACCTCGTATCATTACAATAATGTGTCTCGAATGGATTTCAGGAGCTTTGTAGCGCTCAATGGATCCTGGGAAGAATTGCATAGAACAGGAAAAGACATAGTTATACCACTGCATCGACAGTGCTGTTGTTTTCATCACATCTTGGGTAAATTCAGTGCTTCTATACAAATCTCTGGCTTTCATGAGTCCGTCTATTAGAGAACTAGCTCGTTCAATCATAATGTCTCCGCAATCTTGCATAGAAACTGCGTGTGAACTGATGTCCTCACCAATGTCCCCATCTACGGATGTCCCAGGATGCTTTGGGCTCCCTCGGATAAGCACTGCATATGACGTCACAGGTTGTGAAGGGATGATGTCCTCGTGGAAGTATATTTCATCATGGCGAATTCCAAATGTGTCTCCATGATTTGAGGGAGCATACCAGCAGTTGTTTAGGAGGTCATCGCAGTGCCTTTTGTGCAGTCTGAAAAAATCCAAGGACATTACCTGTTTTAGAGTGGTGTTTTTTGTTTGTCTGTTTGTTTGTTTGTTTGTTTGTTTTGGTTTTCGAGATAATTACCCACCGAGCCAATGCTGCGCTTCAAATGTACCAAGAAAAGGATTGGGGTTGGGTTAAAGAATTAAGAGTAGGATACAGTTAGATGCTGCAAGTAGTTTTGAGTTTACACTGCGTTGAGTGCTCCATTGCAACGCTCTGCGGTTAGCTTCCACGTAACCTTTTTAAAACCAGTAATATTTTTTGTATAAAATATTTTCCCTTTAATGAACTTCTTCTCTTGTTTTTTTCAAATGTCATCAAATCTCCTAAATAAAATAACTGGGTGGAAGTTAGATTAAGAGTGCGACCATTGCTTTGACGCGTTTTGACGCGTTTTGACGCAAATTTCACTAGCTTCGTTTTCAGAAAATCGGGTACTTAGGGATGGACCACTTTATTTTTGAAGGGGGGGTAGGCAATTACCCAAAAAAATTCCTGCACAGCTTAAAGTAGAGAAAACAAATCATGCACAGTGAGTAAGCCTTTTTACTCGTAGGATCGTTAGACCAAATGAAAAAATTATCTGTAATTTTTGTCATAATTTAATTTCAACTCACAAAAATGCTTTGTAATTATTTGTATAATAATTCACCTCTTTGTGTTTCATATCATAAATATCATAAATACATCATTTCCATCTGTCTCTTGTACTAAAACATAAATTTGAACCATTTCACTGAATTTGGTGTAATATAAAATTCATGTCATGAAAATACCATTTTCCATTTCTTTTATTAAACTGATAACTTTCAGCTATTTTCAACATATCTGATATCTATTAATTGAATAAACGATAATTATTAATTATTAGTTACTGTGTTCATACAGTCTTAAAAGTACACAACCATAAAGGACAAATGGTAGAGTGGTTGTACTTAAACCCATAAACACTATCTAACCAGGTTTTTATCTAGGGTGTTTGAGGGGTAGAAGCCCCCCCCAAAAAATGCCCCACTTCCCCCGAAAAAAATACTGTTATCATCACAGTATATAAGTAAAATCGGAAAATTCATCCAGACGCGACGAAGTCAGTGCACTCACTGTAACATTTCTCAAAATACACCAGATTGCATATCAGCGCATATCAAGAGAGGGCACTGAAGCACACGTACCAAATCAGTCTCAAATCCGCGGTTCTCATTCAAACATTTCCTGAAAATCCTAGATAGAACTCTGCTAACAGTTGGTGTGTAATAGACTGTCAAAATTAAAACAAATGAAAACAACAAAATAGTGTCTGATAGAGCCCACTACAAACTTTTTTAAGGATTTGTAATTAAGTAAAACCATTCTATAAAAGGAAAGTTTAATGGTAGAGTGATAAAGATCACTCTGATAAAGATCACTTTGAATATATAGTTGTGTTTTTTATTATTTACTATTTTGCTTATTTACTATCGATGTAATTCTACTTATTTTATTCATGTTCTTACATATGATTTAATCAGTTATTGTAAAGTGCTTTTGATCTATTTCGAAAAAGCGCTATACTGAAGTTTTAAATTATTATTTTGTTGTTTTGTTTTTTTTAATTTTTATTGTTTTTACAAACATAATGCTGACTCACTTACACAGTACTTACTTAGTTACATAAAGCTTTAATACCTACTTACATATAACTTGCTAAGTTAAATACTACTTACTTACATAATATTAACTTACAAGATAATGCTTACAAAACAGGAGCAGATGAGTTGGAGTCTGTTACAAAATAATGAAAAAAGAATTCTAATACAACTAATTACTAACTTACTATCTATTAACGAAGAGTAAATACGCTAAAAACGACAAAACATAAATAAATAAATAAATAAATAACAAACAAACAAGACAAAAAAGCCAAAAAACAAGGGAAATTAGCCAGAATCAAGAAAATTATTTTTACAGCTTGACTTGCACCTTAGCTTTGCTAGTTTCAATTTGTATTTTATTTTTAAGGATAGACAAAAAAGCGTCGAAAAAAGAATCTCCCTCATTTTTAGACGTGGTGTAAATATAGTATTTTGCAATTATCAAGCAGAGGTTTAAACCAAGACACTGAAGCACGGTGTCTGTAATGCCATAAAGTGTTTGTGCTTCAGAAAGCGAGATCTCAATGTTGTTTTTTTCGCGCCACCAAACTGAAAAATGTGTCCAAAACAGCTGAGCATTGGGGCAAGTCACAAATAGGTGTGTGATTGTTTGCTTTTCAGCGCATAAAAGACAGCGGTCATGTTCTTTAATTCCGAATTTATATAATGTAGCGTTGGTGGGTAAGATGTGGTGTAAGATCTTGAATTGAAACATTGAGAGTTGTATGTCTTTCGCAGCACTGAAAGGCATCTTGCAAATTTGAGAAATTTGCTGTTCATTTAAACTAGCTTTTCTGAGTCTTTTTTTGGCGGTGGTAGGAACAAATTTCCTTTCAACAAAAAAGTTGGTAGCAAGTTTAGAAGAAAGCTTCTCAACGGGAATTCTATCCATACTTATGGATTTATTCGAAGGCGGTTGTAATTTACCTTTCATTATTTTAATCCAGTTAGGAGGAATTGCTTTGCATAAACCGTAGTAGGTAAGAAAATTAGTTTTAAGACCAAAATGAGAGCAGAAGTCTTGGTGAGATAGAAAGGTATTGCCGTTGAAGAGATCTCCAATTTTTTCAACACCCGCTACATGCCATGCTTTATAGTATACTGAATAATTGTTGATCCTAATAAAGCGGTTGTACCATAAGATTTCATTCAGTATTTCTTCTTTTGAGGAGGGAGTGAACGAATTTATAGATTGCCAGGCCAACAAGGCTTTCTCGTAAAAGATCAATGGAATGTGTATGTTAAGATGTTTAAGTTCAAAGTTACATTTAAGGAGAAAGAGACCACCAACTCGCTCTAGCAGGGAAACAGGAATGTGAGACCAACTCGCGGTGGGATGACAGCTGTCTAGTCTTCTGATCCAAGTTGCTTTGAGAGCATTGTTGATTATGTCAAAATCAGGCAATGAGAGACCACCTTTTTCTTTAGGGCCAATCAGGGTAGTTTGTTTTATTTTTGGTTTTTTCTTTTGCCAGACGAATTGAGTAATAGCTTTATTAACTTTTTGAATAAATGTGGGGGTGACAGTGAGGACAGCAGTGTTATAAATAAGTTTGGAGAGAGCTAATGCTTTTAAAATGACAATTCGACCATGTAAAGTTAAGTTCCTAGGGTACCACAAGTTTAGCAAGGAAGTCATCGAGGACAGTTTCTGTTCAAAGTTCCTTTTGAAAGCAGTTTCGTCATCATAAGAGAAGTGAATACCAAGTGCAAATACAGGATCTTTTGGCCATGCAATATCAAGAGGTTCTTCCGGGTTGTTTTTGTTCGCGCCTAGCCACAAGCCCTCTGCCTTGCTTCTGTTTACTTCAAGACCAGAGCATTTTTGAAAAGCGTGGAGCAGTTGGAAGAGGTTTTGGGCAGATCTTATATCAGAAACAAAAACAGTGGTATCATCTGCGTATTGTGAAATTTTGAATTCTTTTCCATATATGTTGATTCCTTGAATATTTGCATTAGACCTTGTTGCATTAGCAAGAATTTCAGCGCACAGCACAAATAGGGAGCCGGAAAGAGGGCACCCTTGGCGAACACCTCTTTGTAGTTTAAAGAAGACAGAGGCGTAACCATTATTTACTACACAGCTAGAACACTCAGTGTAAAAGGTTCGGATTCACTGTAGTGACTGAGGGCCGAAATTTAATGCCTCCAAGGTATTAAAAAGGAAGTTCCAGTCGACGGTGTCAAAAGCTTTTTTAAAGTCCACAGAAATCGCCATGCCGGGAATGTTTTCTAGCTCAGTTATCTTCATGATATCGTTAATGAGTCTAATGTTCTGTCCTATATAGCGGCCCTTGACATAGCCAGTTTGGTCGTCATTTATTAATTAATTTGGGGAGGACTTTAGCGATTCTATGGGCTATAGATTTGGTTGCTATTTTATAATCGACGTTAAGTAACGTTAGCGGTCTCCAATGTTCCAAATACAACCTGTTTTTGCGTTTTTTCGGTATGACCTTTATTATACCTTGTCTTTGTGTTATGTTGAGTTGTTCTACTTTATGAGCATAGTTAAAGCTTTGGACCATCTCATCACCAAGTAGATGCCAGAAGTGCAAATAGAACTCAGCTGAGAGACCGTCGCTGCCAGCACATTTGTTTTTAGCACACTGTTTAAGAACGTTGAAACACTCGGTTTTCGACAAAGGCTGTTCAAGTTCATTTAGCTCGTTTTCGTCGAGTTTGACGAGGTTAGGGTCTCCCAGGAAAGCATCGCGTGCAATAATATCACAGGGAGCGCTCGTATATAAATTTTCATAAAATGCTCTCTGCATTTCCAAAATCTCTTTTTCGCAAGAAGTTTCCGAGCCAGTAGTTGTTTTAAGCCTAGTTATGTGAGTTTTTGCAAACCTCCTTTTCTCAAGATTTAAGAATTATTTAGTATTCTTTTCTCATTTTTCGTGCCAGCGTATCCTACTTCTAATCATTGCACCCTCGGTTTTATATTCAGCAATCTGATTGAGTTGAGCTCTTAATTGGTAGAGTTTAGTGATATTTTCTTTCGATCTGTTGGATTGCAGCAAGGCCATTAGGTGATCAATTTCTTTCTGAAGGTCTCGTTCCTTATTTCTTTTTATTCTGTTTTTCCTTTTTGAGTATTGTACAGAAACCTCTAATCTCCATCTTGAGCATGTCCCAGTACAGGCCTTCATTAGTAAGGTAACAGTGTTTGCTTTTGTATTCGGGTATTTTGCTTACGAGCTCGTCAATGAAATTTGCATCTTTCAGCAAAGCGTTATTAATTTTCCAAAACCCAGGTCCACATTTAGCGTATTCTTTCGATTGAAGAGTGAAAGTGATAGCGCTATGATCAGATATTGTGGGGTTGGTGATGTTAGTATCAATGACAGACATCAACAATTCTTTCGACACAAGCCAATAATCTAAGTGGCATTGCACTTTCAAGGAATTGTTACGCCATGTAAATTGTGTTTTGTTGGTATGTTGATTTCTCCAAATGTCATGAAGTTTAAAACGCCGGGTTAAGCCTTCAATCTCGTCAATGACTTTTTGTTTTTTCTGAACAGTAGCACCACCCATTTTATCTGTAAGTGTTAATGGGCAATTCATGTCACCTCCCAAGATGATTTGTGCATCTGCAAATGGTAGCAGAATGTTATCAAGATTCCGAAAGAAGGCTATCTGGGCGGTAGAGTCATTTGGCGCGTAAATGTTGCCAAACAAGAAGGAAGATTCTAGCACGTTGGCTTTTAATAGCAAGTATCGTCCATTCCTATCAGCGAAGATGCTTTCTGTTTCGAAATCCAGACTCGGTTGAAATGATATCATCACATCTTTTGAATGTGTTGTTCGATGACTGTAATAAATTTTCCCTCCCCATTCTGCTTTCCATATTTCTTCGACACTTTTGGAAGAGTAAGTTTCTTGTAAATAAACAACGTCGAATTTTTTATTGTGGAGCCATCTAAACACCCGCCGTCTCTTTCTACAGTCTCAGACAAAAATAGTTGGGACAGTTTAGCCAAACGCTGTTTTTTTCTCTTCTCGTGCTCACCTCGTCCCTCTCAAAGTTGTTTATCGCGGTTCGGTCACCAAATCTTGTACACCAACATTGAGGGGACAAGGAGGCCCCAAAGTGTCGCAACCATTTTGACTGAGACTGTAGCTTGATTTAAACCTCTTACGTTTAAAGAACAAAAGGAGAGTCTAAACGGGACAGGCGTGAATTAGCAGCATAGAATATTCTATCGGTTTCGTTGAGGAAGATATTGAAAAACATTTCGAATGAGAGCAATTTTGAATTGAAGGTGTACTTAATGTAAATTAAATAATAAACATTAGTAATCAGCCTTATCGCAAGCTGAAGGAGTACAAGACTAAGCTGTAGGGAGATAAATCTAAGTATATCAAAATAGATTCTAAACATGTAAATAGAAACGGCTATACAGAAACGCTAAGACACAAAACGCACAGTTACTAGGGCACAAATTGCTCAAAGTAGGGAAACCTCTTCTTACACCTAAACAGGTTCCCTATGAACAGTTTACTGCTAAATAAGTAGGCGCTATGAGCGAAGCAACTCTTAGGAGCGCGAAAGGAATCAATTATTTACAGCAACTGACTAATCATGTACCATAACTTTACCGTACAGAGGAAGATCTTTAGTTTCTTTTCCACGATAAACTTGCCTTTCAATAATAAGTTTGTCGACATTAAAGAAAGCTTTTTTCTTCTGGGCTTTAGCAGCTTTCAAGATTGGGTAAAGTTTCTTGTGCATATCGGCGATTTCTTTTGGGAAGTCACTGGTAACACCGATCTTTGAGCCTTTTGGTGATATTTTAATAAATATGAAGACTGAAAACCGAAGAAAAAAATTCGTGCACAACCTTAACCCATTCGCCCCTGAGCCGCTCCTAACCGCCCGCGCGGATCCACTTCGTTTCTACCGCTTGTGACGTCATCAGTTTTAATGGTCAGGGATAACTTATATGACCACTTACTTGTGCAGAGTGGAGAGATCTTTTAAACCATACCAGAATGAGCACAATTCAGTCAAGTACACCAGAGAAAAAGGCAAAAAACCATGTCACATTGACCCGAAAATTTCCGTGAAAATCTTGTTTCACTATCCACCTACCTTTCCTTTAATCTAATCCTAATACTAAAAACTTTCCTAAAAACTCTTCCCACCAAAGTGAAGCGTACTAAATGCCCAGGAAGAGACAAAAAAGGCAAGAAAAACGAAAAAAGAGGGGGGAGAAAAAGCGAAAAGTAAAAGTCGAGACTGTCGTGTTGCTATTAAACCCTTCGCGTGCCCGAACTTCGCAAGCTGATAGTTTGCATCTGGATCAGAAGGCCGTGAAGTGTACAACCTGCAAACGGCTTTATGGCAGGTTTGAGCTCTTTATAGCACAACAGTGACCAGAAAACCGCTCTACTAGCTTCAAAACGCTTTTTTTGGCAAAATCTCCAGGGGCGAATGGGTTAAGGTGCTAAAACAAATCGTGGCACACCCCAAGGACGAAAAAAAATTCTTAACTAGACAAAATTGTCCAACCCTCCCTCAACCTCCCTCTCAAAAATGGTCCACCCTTATGCACTGTTATGTTTTTTTTTTTTTTTTAACTTGTTCTCGCTCTTTCATACCTTTTATGGGCATCACGCAGTCCTAAAACCCGACAGGCTGAATGCACAAAAAGATTGTTCAAACCATTCTCGACACTTGTCGCGCAGGAAGGCAATCTCCGTCTAACCAAATGCTCCACCAAGCTCCTTAGTGGGGGTGGGGCGGGAATTGGCAACTTTTCATCCCACTGGAGCACTCTAGTTTGCAAGGTTGTTTGGTCGAAAGAGTTCTGCAAAATATCAATGAGAACGTCAAGTTCTAGCCGACCTGACATGGTATAAGAATGGAAGTGAACAACGTGTTGTTTAAATTGTCAGATTTTTTTAAACCAAGAGTTTAAACCTATTTCAGAAAACAAACTATGCTTCAATTTCTGGAAAAAATCCTTTTCCTGACGGTTCACATCTTTTAAAATTAAGTTTGGAGTTTCGCAATTAAAGGAGATGAAGAGGTCATTCTGTATGGAAGTGAAAAAAATATTACACTTCAATCCCGATTGTTGTTTGACAACAAAAAATTAAAGTAAGGTAATCGCTCACCTGCGCACATCTTGATTCTTCTACAGTCTTTCTCTCGGATGCATATTTTGTTTTTGTCGCTGTGAACAGAAGTGGAGAACAGAAATTCTTGTTGTGTAATGCGCTCCTGCAAAGGCGATGACGCCACAAGCAATACATCGTTGTAGAGACTAAGTCTCTCTAGCATTACCCTCTCGCTTCCTTAGTTTTTCGTTTTTAAAAATAGCAATGACATTTCGTGGAAAGGAAAAGTGCCAAGGGAAGCGGAACTAGGATTTTGTATGATCTAATCAATCGCGGCATGTCACGGGGCAAAGGGGCATTCCCTTTTTTACATTAGACGCGCTTTGAGTGGGTTGCGCTGCTGACGTCAAAGTGGAATCAAGCCATGTGTCTTAATCCAAATTTTGTTCCGTTTTTCGTGGAAAAGAATTGTGAAATTTGTTTAAACGGAAGTGCAGACTAGTCACGCGCTCTGCAAAGATCTGGTAATATTTGCATCTATTTTTACTCTCGTTTCAAATCAAAGCATATTTATATCATCTCGACTTTTTAGGGAAAAGTATAATCATCTAGAGGCGTCTTATCGCTCCCGATCGTACGGTTGCTGGGGACATTTCGCTGACCTGTAAAAGAACTCATTCCTAAACCAGCCGTGAGCAAATAGAGCTTTCAAGATGCCTCTAAGCAAGACGAACATAGCCGTGGTTTTTCTCGTAGGTTTCGTCAATTATTTGGAATGGGCCATTGTAATGACTTCAATATACCCGTATATTCTTTCGGTAAGTAGTCACTGACATTTCTACGTTTGTAAAAATAATTACAAATGCAACTGGATCATGGAAAATCAGTATTGTAAATGAAATGGATTACTTAATAGCGATCAGAAACTGGAAGTTGTTTCACGCGCTTAAATCACTCGTACTTTCGGACGGGTTATTGTAATTAATTCAATTCTGCCTTCAGAAAAACTGAAATAAATAGAAAATAAGATCAGCAATGTCCTGGTATCTTCGCGCTCATAATCGAAAGCACACTGAGATTTGAGGATTTACTGTTTCCGGTGGATTTTGGATTTTTAAATACGGTGCCTTTTATGTCGTTTTAACAGAGTAACGAGGTCAAAAAATAAATAGGTTAAGCGAAAGCATTGGCATTTTATGAAATCACAAGCTGTTGCTTTCCCAAAACTGCCGTTTCTATAAGAATATATGTTATAACAATATCAAGGCTGAAATTTGCGACATTTTAAGATTATTTTAAGAATTAAAAAACTGTAAATACAATACAATTATATGTTTTCAACTTATTCCATTCTCTAAAGGGCAAAACTTGTCAACAAAACGAAAAATCCTGCACTAACTATAATTGATACCCCAAAATATTCTACAAGGGACATGTCATAAGCAATAATTTAAGAATAATACAAGATTATTTTCAGCTTTAAAAATCCATTGCGTGACTACATTGTAACACTTCCATTCTCCTCATTAATATTGCAGATGTCTAGCAATACTTCTTCTTCGGCCGCCTATCTCTCTTTAGCTCAAAGCCTGTTTCCATTGGGTCAAGCAATCTCTCAACCAGTAGCTAGCCTGCTTGTAAAAAAGCTGCGACAGATTAAGATTGTCCTCATCGGTTCTATCATAATTGCCATTGGCGGGAACGTGACATACATGGCAGCGGATAGAGCTCATTCTGTTGCGCTGATTATCCTGGGAAGAGCTTTAGCTGGTTTGGGGGCAGGTAAGGTGGGGTGGACTGAATTCATTTGCCGTTAATTCGTATACGGTTTATTTTTTTTTTTTTCAATAACAATTAATGCTAAATTAGAATAACCGTTTTTTCGAGTTTTGATAAAGACGATTATTGTTTGACACTGCCGGAAACACCTTGTGTGTTTGTGGGGGAGGGAGGGAGGGAGGGAGGGAGGGAGGGAGGGGGGCTACGAATTTGACCCCCAACCAAACAAACATAAACTTTTGTAAAGTTCAGCGATTTTGCAGAGTTACAGCTAGTTTTTAACAAATATCGTTTAAACTTGGCAACTTTACTGATTTTAAGGCGTTTCCAGCCACAAATTATCGCTAACTGGCCCCAGTTTTAAGTTGAAAAAACTTTGGAAGGATCTGTTATGTTGCTACCGCTACCAATCTGTCTGAAGGCTTCGTTTTGACGGTTATCTCCCGGGGGGGAGGTGTACTCCCTTATTTAAGCTATATAGGTATGTGCCGCCCCAAAGGGTATGGTTTTTGCGCCGTTTTGATCAGAAAACGGGTATAGACTTTTTGGTCTGGAATCGGGTGTGGTTTTTAAGGGAACTACGGGAGTGTATGAACGTATTTATTCTTTCAATTCCAAAATGAGGAAGAACGAAAGAGAAATATGCGAATTCGAAATAGATTTTAAGAAATCTTTTTTTGTTGCTGTTCTTATCGAAGTGATTATGACATAATTTCTTAAAGGCCAGGTCTAAGAATGGGTATGTATTTTGGAGGTCTGAAAACGGGTGTAAAAAATATCATTTTTTGGTTTAAAATAGGGTCCAGATTTAAAGAACCGGGCGGCACACCGCACACCCCTGCCAAAAATTCCTAGGAGGTACCCCCCGGGGGATATCTCTTGAAGTGAACAAGAAGGAAAGATAAGTTGATATTTTAAAGTGACTGCTAATATGTGACCTTTCTTACTAGGTAGCGGAGGAGTAGCTTATGGTTTTATAGGTGCTAACACCAGCCGAGAAAGCCGAACCAAGTTTATGTCTTATTACAGGGTTACGTGTATGGCTGGAGTAATGTCCTCGACGATTGGTGAGTTACTAATTATTCACGCCCGTACCACTCCTGATCGATTATATCAGTATTGGTATCAATTTTTCGTCCCAGGACCAGCCACATTTTGCAGGCTGGTCATTACAATTGGCAGTTCTAACAACAACAAATACAGTCAATATTTGTACTTTATTTTTAGTGTGTTATTACCATTCTATTTTTAATATTTATTGTCGTCATCATCATCAGATCGTCGTCACCATCATTGTCTTCATCATCATCATCATCATCATCATCATCATTTCATCACCATTATCATCACTACCGCCATTACCGCCATCATCATAATTGCAGGATTACATCGTCATTATCGCCATAATAACTTCAATGACAACATGGAGTAGTACCTTAAGCTTCGATAATCATTTTGTACTTTGAATTTTTTCCCTCACTTGGCTAAACTAAAAAGCCTAATAATGCATTCACGAATAATAAGAATGCATTATAATGTATCCTACAGGGAAATTCAAGTTTGAATTCTAGTTTGCTATAACTAGGGGGAGAAAACATTTCTGATTGCTTTGAATTTGTTTTCAGCATCTGCCACCTTCTTACCCCACTTTGGCAAGAACGTTATCGGTAAAGCAACAGGATTAGATGAGTATTCTGCCCCTGCAGCTCTTACTATTCTCTTTTTGTGCGTCAGTTTGGTTCTGGTCACCCTCGTACTAAATGAAAACAACTGTTCACCGATAGGTAGGTTTATTCACATTTCTGTGGTCTTTAAGACTAGTTTAGCAATGGAAAATTTTGTTCTATTTGTTAAATACGTTCACATTCGATTCGTTCTTCACATTTGTTTTCCAGGCGGCTCAGATGCTGGCACATCAGTAAAAGGCTTGCTCAAGTCACGTGGTGTACTTCTGGGTCTGATGCTGTATCTTTTGAATGGTTTTGTGACCACATGGGTGGGGTTTGTACTGCCTTTGATCGCGTACAACCATTTCCATTTTATATTGCACAAATATGGTTGGCTAATGGTCGGCGTGTCTGCAACAGCAACAATATCATCGTTAAGCATGGCGCAGGTGTCTAAATCCAGTTGTATGGCTAACAATAGAAACGGTGACTGGAGAGCATTGGTGATTTCATATACTGTCATGATAATCGCAATAGTTATTTCCTATCTGGGTGGTCCTTCGGTGAGTATGTTACTAAAAGATTTTACAGTAATTGTTCGATTCTTTTGCACGTGATTCACTTCGATCAGTTCTTCGATCCTTTCTAGGCAAGAGACGACCGATTCTCCATTCTCCCTCTTTTTATAAAGAAGCGGCTATCGTAATATTCGGAGCCTGCCGGCCAGGTTAGACTGCGCGCCTATATAAAAGAAAAACTTAGCGCAAAATAGCTCATCCCTGCAAAAGGAAAGTGCTCGATTAGTGAAATGAAATAATTATTGGTCCGAGTTAAAACTCTCGCAACAAAGATAGTAATACGGCAGATATAATGAGGTATAGAAGCAATGCTCCCTATTTGAGCGTATGTTAGAGAAATTTATGCATCTGTACTTTTCGTTTGCATTACCAGATAAGAAGAATGCATGTGTTTAGGTAATGTGAAAGAAGTTCATAGAAAAATATTAATTGAATATATTATGCGTTTCTTCAGGTTTTAAAGTCTTTACCAGTTGCAGCTAAGGAAGGGCTCTTTATAAGCGGAGCGTTAATGGTGTTTTTAACTTACTCTGTGGCTGGAGTGGTATTGCCTTCATTGATGACCAAATATGTACCCAAGTCTATGATGGTAGGTGTACAAAGCATCACGGGACCCATGTGAATGAAAAGCGCGGGAATCTATCAGTAGGAATGATTGCTGTTGTGTTTCTTCTCATTTCTAACAAAGCGATTTTCGTATGAAAAGTGAATACAACGGTCACCATAACATCAGACAAATTGAGAAGAAGCGGTGTGGCTTTCGATGTGGATTTCCATAGATCAGAGAGTTAGGTTAAACACAGGCGGACTTTGATTGGTTTATCGCACTGAGGCGCACTGAGGAAAAGGCGTGACGAAGCTAATTAAATCGTTTTAGCGAATTGAAGCAATCACGCAGCGCGATTTTGATTGGCTTAGCGAGATGAGACAAACGCGAGGCCAGGCCTCTGACTGAATTAGCGAATTTGGTCATAATGCCAGGGAAGCGAAAAGATTGCACGCGCTGAAAAGTTGTAATATCCTTCTACGAGAAAACGAGCATTTTTTATCCTGTCAAATCTTGGTGGATTAGAATTACCACCCACATCCGTCATATTTTTCAATTCCTCTTTCAGCCTGTTATAATGCCTTATGGTATCGCCGCAATGTCCGCAGGAAAAGTTGTTGCTCCACTCCTTAGCAAAGCAGAGTTGGTGATTCAGGGCTGGGACCTTCTTTTCATGGGATCCGCTGTTCTAACACTGGTTGGTCTGCTGTTGTTTGCTTTTCTATATCGCGCTCCTCAGCCTGAGGAAACACCACTTCTCCCTGAAAAAAGACATACAGAATCAGTAGAGGAACCTTTACTTTCTTCAGTAGAACAAGGACTCATGAACCCGCGAGGGAAAAGACTTGAAGAAGTGTCGGGATATTTTGATAGAAACAAGAAAGAAAAACACAATCAAGACGATTAAAGAAACAAATGCCGTCAAGGCCAGTGGAAGGCAAGAAAAAGCGGAAGTGCTTTCCTTTTCCGCACTGTCCTTTCCTTTAGACTGCGGATGGGATAAGTTGTTCCCTTGAGCGCCAGCGTTAATCCTTGTCAGCTCCAGTAACATGTTCCTGGACAAGAATATTTTGCCTAAATTTCTTCTTAACGCTGTTTTAAGGTTACAAGTCATTCACTCAAGCAACTCAGACCTGGGAATTAAATTAAGACCGTACTTTGCATTAAACAGACATGCCATTTGTACTGATTGCTTGCAGTCAACTAAATATGCTAAACCGAAAAAGTAAAATAAATTGTGTATGGATCGAGTATGGAAGAAAATGGGAAAAATTGGGTATAAATAGTCAAGTTTTGTGCGACAAAAGATATATTGTATAACAATTATACGAATAGCGATATATCAAATTGCTCAGAGTAGAGCAAGACAGTATTATATTTTAAAACAATTGATAAAACCTTCTCACACATGAAAAGCAGCTTACCTCAGGAATGTAATGTAAGTAAAATTGAAAGAATGAATGAATGAATGAATAAATAAATGAAGGAAGGAGAGAAGGAATGCATTAATGAATTAATTAATGAATCTATGACCTCTAACAAACGAATAAAGTCAACAAGGTTAAAAATGAATTTGAGTTTTAATCTCGGGAATAGTACGGTTTTTGCTTCCCCTTATTCTCTATAGCATAAACAGACCCTCTATTTTCTCTTCAAAGTCCGTCGAGCGCGGGTGATAAAATATAAACTGCAGGGGATTTATTGACCGACAGCGGAAGGGGGTAGTGATGGGGATGAAGAAGAAAAATAAAACAACGTCTGTGTACAGGCTAAGAAAGAACTAAGTAAACCTTATAGGAGCGCCACTAACTGGGATTGAGTAAAAGGTGACGGCCTTGGGCCTAGGTCTCCGATTAAAGGACATGAAAAGGAGTGGTGGAAACAAACGAGAAATAGACTGCAAAACAGTCAGGTTTTTTTCCTGAAAAAAATTGATTTAGAGGAGAGTAATAGCAGCGTAAGAGTCCTACGCGCGCGAGCGCGCGAGCCGCACACTCCCGTAGGGCGTGTGAGGCGAGAGAAATAATTTTTTTTAGCGTCTCTTCCCAGTCTCGTTCTCCCTTTTCAGCTTTTGTTTAAATGTTCGTGCGAACAGTGTACTGCTGAACATGCAAAAATACGGACTATGTTGCAGTCTAACGAGAAAACACTCGTCTATTTTTTATTTATCCCCGGGGGCTTTTATCCTACGATCCTAGAGCCTGCTTTCCTTTTGGTCAGCACCTCAGGTGACACCTCCCCAATCCCCAATCACCTCAGCTTCGACAGCTTCCGGCTCAGCTTTCAACTCAAAGATGGCGGCACACACTGGCTGTCCGTAACATTCATTTCAGTCTTATAGAATTGGCTTTATCATAAATGGACAATTTTAATGCAAGATGTTTCTTTTGATCCAGTGCGCAGGGATTACAGGTAAACCACGCTATAATAGTTTCAGAATATTAGTATCATTAAAAGACCTTAAAATCAGCTAATTGGTATGGATCAACTCTCACCTTGGCAGCTTTTTCAGGTGCTACTGATGGCCAGGGTTAGCAATAACTGAGAGGAATTTTTCATTTTATGAGCTGAGCGGAATATACCATTATACCGACATTATTTAGCCAATATGCCCACAATTCCTTGGAAAATGTTTACAATAGTGGCAACCGTATATGAGGTGAGCCAGCACGGTTACTAAGCCAGGCTGGCTTGCCTTGTGCCTTAAATTTTGTTTCCTTATAAAATTGTTGTTGTGTTTTTTATGAAAAGGCAGGTAGGCTGGCCGACTTGCCAAGATCTCGGTCGCTCGAAAGCCCTGGGCCTGCCCAACTTGGAAACAAACAACTTGACAAACTGCTAAAAAGATTTTCAGTAACATTATAACAGTGAATATTTGAAGTTTCATATTATTGAACTGCGGGAAAGGATGAAAGGACGGGGAAAGGATGGGGAATAAGCATGTTCAAAAGACTAGTGAGCAAGAAATCCTCTTGGATTGAATTGTAAAAGCCAGCCTGCATAGCTTGGCAGTTTTGTCAGGTGCACCACTGAGCAGTGAAGTCCCATCTCCTCACAGTTTTACTACTCTTATAACCCACCTCGGTTTGTTTGCGGGCTGGACCAAAACTGCCATGCTACCCCGGGGGGGGGGGGGGCAGTTTAGGAATTTCTGGGTGGGGATGTGCCGCTGGGAGCCTGGAACCCTTAACCTTTACCAGAGCTAGTTCAGCTGAATTTTGCTACCCTATACTAGAGTAAACTCCCCAAATGCCCCTATCCTAGAGTAGCTGTGTACCTAGTCTAGATAAAATCTTCAACCAACTGATCAGTTTCCTGAAAAATGATACCCTATTTTAGAGCCAAACGCTCTGATTTATATACCCCATCCTAGAGTAAACTGCTTGAAAACCATACCCTTCACAGCGGCACATACCTATATAGCCCATATATGGCAGTACCCCCCGGGCATGCTACACAGGCTATGTAAAAGCTACAGCCTGCAATGCAGGGATATTTTGGGGCAAGCAAAAGCTGCCATGGCTGCACACCATCTTTGATTTCATCACTCAGGTCGATTGGCGAGAGTAGAAATTATAACACTTGGAGTAGGTATAGGGCAGAAGAAGGAGATGGGAGAGGGGGAGGGGAGAAAAAATATTTCTCTGTTCCCGACGTCTCCCGTGCCCCTTATGAGTCACCTCACTGCCTTGACTATTTTAGAATTCAGCATTGTGGTTACACAAACAAAAACAATCGCACACCAAGAGAAAATGCACGGAATGCAGGCTAAATAAAGGCATTGAGATTTGAAAGTGATGGTGATGTTATTGGACGGGTGCTTAAGAATTTAGTAATGACTACATTGAAACTATACACTCAGCCAGCAAATACTAACTTTAATAGAAATCTTTCTCAAAATCCAGCAAATAATTTTACAGTTTGAGTACAGAATAACTGATTCACACTGATATATAAATAAATAAATATCATTATTATTATTAACCAATTAAACTATTACATTGCATGAGATTCATGATTGCTATTGAATCAATGCTCTCTCATGAGAGATTTACCCAGAAAAGGACCTTGATTGCACACATGCTTATGGCTTACTTGGTCTGTCCAAGTGCGCTACTGACCATTTTAAAACAAAAAGCAATACTGTACATGTGTTAATACTTTCTCTTAAGAGCTTTCTTTGTAGGAAAGTCACGTCCATTATAATATCTATTAATCTATTATATCATTACAGATCATAGTTGATGATTGCAAGTCCCAATCCTTCTTTTGGCTTTCCATCATAATCTCCGTTTACAAATTTCTCATAGACAGGCCAGCTGCGATGATAAATAACTGCCACGCTTTCGGTTCTGAACATCTCTTTGCTGGAGATAATGAAGGCTAGTTCTTTCAGGAGGTAGTAAACTCCTTCTTGCACACTTTCGTTAACTTCAAGCTCAGAATCTGAGGATTCTAAAGTTTAAAATAAGACTTGGTCAGACTTCATGGAATAGTATACCGGGGAGGGGTACATCCTATAATGGAATACTGGGAGGCTCCGCCCAAAGGGGTACCTTATTCAGGCTTCAGGTATATAAAGGGGTAAGGAATTCACAAGTTGAAGTATATAAAAGGGTAGGGAAATCTGTCATTTCAGTTTGTAAAAAGCCCCAAAAGGGCTAACGGGCTCATTTTATGGCTGTAAAAAAGTCGAGAGAACATTCTACATTTGTAATTTACAGTCCAACCTCTACTAGCGGCCACCTCTTCACAACTTCCATCTGTCTACAACGACCAGGCCTTTGAGGGGAGGTTCAATCTGCAAAGGTGTTAACTACAGGTATGTGAAAGAGGTAGCATTTGTCAATAAAAGGTATACAAAAGGGGTACCTTTTTTGTCAGAAATAGTATATTTAAGGGTAAGGGTTTGGAGCCTACCCGTATAAAACGTTGTTGCGTACCCCACCGGGAGAGTATTTAAAGCGTTATGCAACGAAAGGCAAAATTCTTGGTACATGTACTGAGTTTATCTCCGCCTCTCCCCTCCCCCGTTTTTGGGGTCATGCATAGAAATCAAATAAACTGGGCAGACAACCGAACGATAGCAAGAAATGACGAGATTTTATGGCTGGACAAAAACGGAAGAAAACAGATGCACAAAAACAAAAAATGCTTAAATTACGGAGATCTACTCATGTGGCGGGAATGTCCACCACTTTTCATGCTCTTAACATAGTTTGTACACCGGTTGGCTCAACTTTTTTATTTCTTTAGTCCTGAATCCTGGAAAATTGTGCGTCGAAGCCGCGACAACGATACGCAACAAGTTTTAAACCGTAGATTTGGTTTAAACGGAAACGGATCCGTGTTTCAAAGTCCATTGACCGCGAAGTGATAAGACAACTCAAGAAATAGAAATCGAAAAAGTTTAGATAATTCAACTTTTAAAACACTGATATCCTCCTTCACTTGCTTACCTGATTCACTCTCAGATGATGTAGAATCTTTTCCTAACACTTTTGCGGTCGATCGTGCGACGTCCTGGCGAAAGTAAGAGTTACTTTTGTAAAAACTGATGATATAGTCCAAGGCTGCAATGTAAGCTTCATGTTTGTCTACTTCTGAAGTCCAGTCCAACATATAAAACTCCCCAGCAACATCATCAGTCTTGGACACCTGTACAGCGGTAGAAAATAATGATTTAATCCATACTGAATAATGAAAAGCCGTAAAATTATTATTTCTCTAACCGTGGGTACAGAGTGTTTTTTTTTTCCTTGCGTGAGGCGGAGATGCTTCATGCCGGCCACAGGTCGACACGTTAATCTTTGAATCGTGAAAAAAGTTGGAACATTAGTTTAGCTCCTCCCCCCGTAGACTAAGAGTAGTCCCCCATTTTTCCTCAGGGATAGTAGAGCGAGCGAAACGCGAGGGCGCGTGAAAATCACCCCACGCGAGAAAAGGCGGCACGCGGCGGGGAGAGAGAAATTTTTCTCATTTTTCTCTCTCGCCACCGTGTGTCGCCTTTTCTCGCGTGGAGTGATTTTCACGCGCGCTCGTGTTTCTCTCGCTCTACTATCCCTGAGGAAAAATGGGGGACTACTCGTAGTCTACTCCCCCTCCACTCCCCTTATCTAACTTAGGGAGAGATCAGTTTTGTAGATGATAAAACTACTTTATACCACTCCAGACAGGGGGCTACCCTCAGGTGCCAGAGACTTTTCTAGCGCGGTTTCCGGTTTCTCAGGCGGGGCTGGGAATCGTTAGTTTCTAATTTGTTTTAAATCCAAGTTTTCTTGCGTTTAATTTATTACGGGCTGGTTAGAAACCTTATAATGTTTCCTTTACTTTTATTATCGTTATTTATTAAATCATTTTTTAATACTGAAAGTCAATAAAAGTTGTATTTCTGGCCAATTTTAAAATATCATTTACTATTCACCATAATTTTAAACCTATTACTATTTCCGGGAAATACTCCGTTAGATTTCTGTTAGTTCTCTGTGAAATTTAGCGCGTCTCTACATAAAAGCACACAACATACTTTCGACATGTACGTAATACACACAAGATTAACCAAAGTTGCGAAATTAGCCTCATTAGTTATTACGGTTTTTACTGAACTAGGAAAAAGCAGGTCAGTGACGTCACTCACGCATGCGCACAATTGGGGAGTGTCAAAATAGTGCATGTCCGGTTGTTACTAATAAACGTGTTTCGCGAATGACACCCACAGCTCACAGTGAGGAGGTCGGATGAAAAAAAAATTAAATGCAATTTTAGCTTGTCTCCAGCTTATGAAAGAGAGCGAGTGCGTGTCAGTTTTATAGAATACAAACAAAATAAATAAAAAAATGTTGTGGTGGATATTTAACCGTACTTTTTGAAGCTTTCTTAAAGTATCAAGAATTAATCAGTGACAGTATTATATTTTTTTCTGTACATACCTTATCAATAGCTCTTCTGCAATGCGACTTGAGCTGACTGGAGTTTTTCTTGGCTCGTTTCACAGCATCTTTACTCCCCAGAGCTCTGTACGTATGTTCAGCTGGCTGCTGTGGTACAACCACAATTATTCTTCTTTTGTCCTTTCCCAAGTATTGCACATAGTCCTCAATAACGTGGGATTTGAAGTATGGATTTCCAGGGCTCATTCCAAACAATACTACACCGTTGCCTGCCATCACATCTTGACCTGTTTCAAAAACGAGGCTTTCTCCAAGCTGGACAAGGTTAAGCACCATTTTAACTTCAGGGGCTATTTCTTTGGGAGAAAGAAAAGAAGCAAGTTGATTTCGAGCTCACGGTCAGCTTAACATGCTGCACAAGGAAAACGGTGTGGCTTTTTATATGCGTCCATCGGAATTAACAATTAGCCAATTTAAATACTGACTGGCACCTTTCAAAGCACGGCAGGATAACGATTTTTTTGTGGGCTTATGTCCCAATTCTAAGCTTTTTCTACCAGCAGGAAAAGTTCGCGACTTCCGCGACTTGTGTTACTAAATTTTCGGTCAATTGGATTAGAGGATGCTCGAAAATAAAAGCCTTCATGAACGCGAAGCCCCTCCCCCGGCAGGAGAGTGCGCCTCTGGCACATATTTTTGGCCTTACCGGTGAAGAATGGTCCCTTACCTGCTAAACTAAAATTTAGGGAGAACACCGTATTAGGTGCTGGAAAACTATTTATTTACCAGAAAATAGGCATTCTTTGTTCAAGCAAACAAAGCTGATTCTGGTTGTGAGTTGTAGTCATCCATTTCCTGCCTTTAAAGTCTAATGACTCTTTCCAGAATTCGAATGTTCTGTTAAAGGACGTGAGTGCGGTTAACATACTTTCATTGTATGATGTTATGACTTCCAGGGCTTGCCCTACAGCAGCATCAAATTATGTTGTAAAATGAGCCACTTTCCGTTATAAGGAGAAAGTTATAAGCAAGGGTCAATTTTGGGGTCTTTACTGTTCTTGCTTTTTATCAATGATATGCCTAATGTAATTTCATAAGGAACATTGTTACCCCTCTTTGCTGATGACTCAAAGTGTTTTCGCTTAATTCTTGGGCGGGATGACTTGAATAAGTTATTCCAGTGGTCTCGTATCTGGGAAATGGAGTTTAATGCCAAGAAGTGTAAGGTTTTAAGGGTGGCTCGTATAAGATCAATCGATGGTAGGGACTATTACCTTGGTGGGATTAAGTTAGACCGTGTTGATGTCGAGAAAGACCTGGGGGTTTGGTTAGCCACAATTTAAGCTGGAATAATCACGTTGATCTTATCTCCTCGCACGTTCTAAAAAAATGCCTAATGTCCTTTACCGAACATGCAGGGACATAAATGGTATTATCACAAAGAAATTACATTATATTGCTTGTGTTCCTTCGCGCCTTGAATATTGCTATTGTCTCATACTAAACGAAACATCAACAATTCGGAACAAGGTCAACGCAGGGCTATAAAATTCATTTTTGGAAGGGATTTTTCTGAGAACGGACGCCTTAGTAAGTTAAATTTAGTACCTTTGAAGTATAGTCTCCGAACTTCCTAAGTGCTCAATATCTCGACTTCCGCACAGCTGAAGCATGAAGCATGTTTTATAACATAATCAAAGCGATCAATGCAGCAGTTTATTTAAATTTTTATTATTGTAGTGCACGCTAAAAGCAGTACGCGTCAATGTCTACGTGACTATATTTTTTAACCTCACAGTTATCACAGGTTGAAAAAAGGTGTTTCCGTTTCCGTTTTTGTAACGGTTACCTCACGGAAACTTGAATATCCGCAGACGGAACTGTAACTAACCGTTGCGGGAAACACGTGTATCCGTCATGTTTCAGTTTCTTCGGACACGCTTAAACGCATCCCTTATACTCGCGTTTCCGTCAGGTTTACTCTTGCGGAAACGCTAACTGCCGCCATGTTTCCGCAGCTCGTAAATTCAGAGGATACTCAATTATCCGTTGAGTTCCCGGAACAATGAATGCGGAAACTCAGTTTGATCGGTTTACTTTCTGCAGCCTTCATGTTTCCCCAGATTCCACTTTCGGTGGATTACTCACTGGATTTCCTAAATTTGTTAACTTTAATGTTTTTGTCTTGAAACTGAGAGAACGTTTACTCAAGTCGCTTACGATAACATTAAAAAAGATTGTAAAATCCATATTTAGCCCTGGAATTTCACTAGTTGAAGTATATGACAGGCAGGGACGGGTGTGTCATTTAGGTATAAAGAAAGACCTTTAGTTGAAATAGGGAGCTTAAGCAACGACGACGACAACTTCAAAAAACAAAAGGTTTAATGATCAAAACAACAGCACTGCACGTGCATCACGCTTTTTAGTACATTTCTTTGACGTCTACTGCACGACTACGACGTCAAACCTCCTAATTTGACGTTTAATGGAGGACGTGGACATACGACGACGAATTTTCCTTCCTTTTTTTGAACTTGAGTAAAATCCTTAAGAATAAGTCGCCTGCATTTGACATATTGAACGAGTCCTGAACGAGTACAAATAGACGCGATTAAGTTAAGTTTAAATTGAATGCAAATTCGATCTTTTAGCGACGTTTTCACTGCTGTCGTCATCTTTGCCTAAGGTCCCTAAAGGCCGATACACACGAGGGATTTTTCTCCCGGAGCATGCTCCAGGGGCACGCTCCGGAAGCAAAGCTCCTCCGTGTGTACCAACGATTTCATGGGTATACTTCATCCTCGGGAGCAGAATTTCTACCCCGCAAAATGCTCCACGATATTTAACCAGTTAAATATTTGGGAGCAAGCTCCCGTGGCAAATTTAGCGGGCTTGAAAACGCTCCCTCGTGTGTATCGGCCTTAATATTTCGAGCAGACGTGCGTTGCAAATTGTTTTCCCGTAATATCGTTCATTAACTTCATCCAAGAGTTAAAGGGATGCAGTGTGGTTAAGTAATTATAAGGTTTAGAGGTCAATACTGTGTCCTTAAAATGGTTTATAGAAGGGCAAGGGCTATAGTTGGACCTCGGGGCCGATCCACCCCGTATAAAACTATGCGGAGTACCCCTGTACTTGACATCCCCCATCTAGTTTAGTTAGGTATTTTGGATCATTTCTTTGAATAATTACGTTTTTTCCCGAATGAGAACACCAGTCTTAGTACTTCATAAGCTCGTTTTACATGCTTGTCATTTGTTCCACATGGACGACTGCCCTAAACGTTGTTGTTATCTTTTAAAACTTGCTTTTTCTCCGAATTCACACTTGCGTACACTCATATCAGTTAACAGGGAAAATCGTAAATGTGATAAAATTAAAAATGATTAAATAAGCTTTATGCTTTCCCCTCTCTGTCAGCAAATAAGTAGAAAAACAGTGCTGCATAGCCTGAAGCTTGTTTACTGGGCCTAATTTCAGTAAACCAAACACATACAAGTTTGGAGTAAAATGGCTATGAACAAAGGCCCATAGCCGCTTTAATTAAAACCCAATTTTCATTTAAGAATAAAATTTACAACAGATAACTTTCTCGTGGCCCAGTAAAGGTGCGGGCCCCAAAAAATATGCCAGTAATATACTACGATCCACATCACAGCCAAGAAGACACAAAGGGAGAGGGTTGGGAGGGATGAAAAAACCACTTCTTCTCCCAGCGAGTAACGAAAATGAATGACACAACAGCGGTTGACAGCTTCCGATGTCACGCACCCCCATAGGGGTGTCAACTTATTGAATACCCTATGACCCCTTGGCATATACCTGGATGTGTCACGAAATAAGTAACGCAGCAATTTACAAACAATGACAACCAGGAGAAAGCATAAAAATCCCATTCGCAAGCAAATATACCATTTGTCAAAGTATAAAGTATACGTGAGGGAATATAGTCTCTTCTGCCTGCGAGCAGACGTCTCCTATTTCCTTTGCGTGCAACAAAGGAAAAAGGAGACGTCTGCAATATTCGGTTTTATCGTAAGGGTCATGAGACTCGCGTACGTCAATTTTTTCCATCAAAAATTCCCCTTTGAACGGACCTTGATTCGTTACAGACGGTTACATCATGACATGCCTTTGGTTTAGTCACCACCTCAAAATCGGTTTTAATATGTTATGCGTGAATCATGTTTACCAATATCTTATATGTCTTTCTGTTAAAATTTGTGGTCACTAACATTCTCAAAACTTCTGGCATCCAGTTTGCTCTTCCTCCAGTAATCCGTTGTCAATGCACGTTAAAAAAAAAAAGAAAAAAAAATCGAGCCCAGGAATAAGAAAAAAAACTGGAAAGCTTGCTCAGAGGCTATAAACTGAACAACTTAAGTTTAGGAATGTAGAGACAAAGGACAGAAACTTCTTTTGACATCAGTCTGTGGCTGTTTCATAGAGAGGTTTCCTAGGACATCGAAAAGAGTTCAATCTTCAACCTCCTCATTTTCAGTCAGTTTCAGTCTGTTTCATTTTCATTAATTCGGACCCTCTCCAAGTTTCATTTTTGCAGAAGGAAAAACTAAACCGTGAAAGAAATAATCACTGACTTTAATCTGTGATCGCTTATATTATAGATTTACTTCTGGCAAAATGATTCTGGGAAAATTATCGCAGGAACTGGCTTCAGGACCTTTTCACTAACACTCATAGCATTTAAAGATGGAAGATTGAAGAAATTTGGAATGTACTTGCTCCGATTTTTACCCGGGCCTCCAAAACTGTAAGTATTATGAGAAAGTTCGCATTATATAAAGATCATATGTGTGTAATATTTTGGACTTAGATGTTTTTTTTTTGTTTGTTTTGTTTTGTTTTGTTTTGTTTTTTTGGACTTTTCATCAAATTTCCTAAATTCAATACTGCACATTTAGATTTTCGTTTTCGGTAGTGTCACGAAACGTGACCCTCTTTGTCTTTTCGGTAGTTTTGGGGGACAAATTGTCACTGGCCTTCACTCATTTGCATGTCATCTAAGTAGACTCCACTATTGGCAGATTTTGTTTAGCGAGAGGTTTGGCTAGAATATTTACCTGTACTTGCTAGTTTCCTTTAATGGCAATATCGTGATTGTATTAAAGCGTGAATAGGATTTTCAGTTGTTTTGGCACAAGTTCTATTCATGTACCTATTTTCTTTTGTTTATTTTTAAATTACCACTTCGTTAGATCCAAATATGCGTTGATTTTTTCTCTTGACCACAGCATCATAACAGACCCACAAATCGCTGTGAAATTTATGGCAAAACAGCATAAGTATGAGCGTTGAAAGGACTTCAGATTGGGAAGTGTGTTTCGCCAGCTGTTTGGTCACGCAGCCGGGACGGCAAGTGGTGAGGTTCATAAGCGGATACGGAGTGCATTTGACCCGTGTTACAGCACAGAGAGTGTGGCACAGGCAGTGGATATGATGGAACAGGAATGCAAACAGTATTTAAATCAGATGGTTCAACACAAACAGGTATTAATGTACTGTTTCTGGTGCCTCATAACCCGCCGAGGGATTACTGCCTTTAATATATGCTCGGATGGGGTGTGCCACTTGATGGGGTCGCATTTTCACCACTGGATTGACTATAATGGGGTTGCTTTTAGAGTTTCTAGAAGGTGGTCGCAAATTTTCGGGATTTTGGTGGATAAGAACATCTCCTGGTAAATAGGGGTTTAGAGATGAGAAGATTCGAGGTTAATCAGCTGTTACCGCGACAAAAAAAAGTGACTCACTTGGGATTGCAGATGCGGACTAAGATGGAGTTTACAATTAGCCAGCGGCACATATCCATCATGAATTGACCCGAGATTGGGTGTTCTTTTTTTTCTTTTTTCATTCCGAGAGATAAAAATAGATAATTATAAATTGAGGACACGATCGCAGGCAAAGTGGTTTGCAGCTTTTAGGAACCTTGTTGTACAATAGATCTGTTTCATGAGGGTACACATTCAGGTTATTCATGCAACACCGACATTTTATCCAAAATTCCCCTCAATTTAGTAATTCCCACGGTTTCCAATCCCGAACGCGTGTTTCAAAATGCCTACAGCCTGATGCTCATGAGCTCTTGATTCTCTCCTCCGCTCCGGAGACCCGTGAGAAATAGCCGTGTAAGAAACGTGTAACGATCATCATTGACGCCTGACAGCGCGGATGAAAATAATAGTTTATGACATTTAACGAAAAGCAACTTACTTTGCCGTATTGCCAGCCCTTATTTAGTTTTGTTTACTGAATTCCCACTTCAAGTGGCGTCTGGTATGAGCATCTCTACATTTGAGATCCGGCAAGAAAGAACCAGTCGGTTTTATCTACGCTTCGAGTGGACCTCTGCATTCAAGGATTTGTAACGTACTTTCGTCACCGGATTTCGGTTAGATGAAAACCAACGTTTCCCAAATGCCGCTACTTCAAAGTCACCCAATTTCCAGGGTTTTTTCCCAAATCTCACGCCTTTTTGCTCTAAAAACCCGAATCCTGACCCTCAAAGGTTTCAATAATCTGGTTCCTTATTGAAAACCATTTGTGGGTTGGGGGCATTGGACGGTCACGGTAAAAGCAGCAAACGGAGCTTCCGGCTTGTGTTGTTGTTGTTTAAAGCTCTATTTAACAAATCGACCACACTTTTCCATGGTCTACACTCTTATAGACCATAGAAATGACCTCATAAAATGTTCAAAACTCAACTGGAACCACGAGCCGCAGGTGAATGGTTTCACTGCAAAGTTTTATGGTGTCATTTCTATAAAAAAAGGGAAGCAAAAACTCTCTTTATTATGTCGGCAGTATACGGCAACCTTAGGAAACGCACTGCCTCATACCCTTTTTTCAGATCAAAAATCCAATGGGGTAACCACCCGATCAACACACACTCCCTAGCACCTGTCAATTGTAATATGAATAAGTCAGCACATGGTCAGTCTCCTTTTTTTGCCATCATGCAACACTCCTCCCCTAAAAAAGAAGACTACCATCCCGGTGGGGGCGGGGGCACTCTACAACGTTTTATACAGGGAGGCTGCGCCCGAGGTTCAACCGACCTTACCCGTTTATATACCATTTTTGGCACGACTACCACAAATTCAGCTTGTGATATCCGCGGCTTATTTCGCCATTTCAGGGTTTCATAAGAATGGCTGATCTGATTCAACTGACGTTTAAAATACTGATGAAGTTCACATACGGAAGAGACATGACTGCAGACGAGCTTCAGGAGTTACTCGATCTCAGAGCTTTAGTGGAGTCACTTATCGGAGATACTTTCTCAAACCCTTTTGTCAAGTTTCCGCTTTATAAATACATGCGTACAAGCACTAACAGGAAACTGGCGCAATTTGAAAAGCGATGGCTGCTATTCAATAAGCGGTAAGAAGGGTTCATTTTACGTTAGTTAACGCAAACAAGATAGTTATCTCGGACGAAATAAAGGAAAAGTAAGAACTCTACATCTCCGTTTCCATTTTAATTTTAGTTTAGTTTTGATACCCTTTTATTGCACTGCCTTGTCCATTTCAACCAGTAGGCAAGTGTTTTCGTTGTGAAAATTTTAATTTCTCTTTTCTTAGCTTTCGTTTCTTGACTTACCTTTAAGGAGCGTTTTGCCAAAGGAAAATTTCGAGACACAAGCTGTGTATTTTACAAGCTCCAGCAAACTCTTGCAAAAAATCCGGGGGCACTTTCAGAAGATGAGGTAATGTTGGGGGTTTAGACAATAAGTTTTGGGTTGGCTGGTATTATACCTATATGTATAATATCATTTTGTAATTTCACGTTCGGATATCAAAATGCGAGTGGAATCTAGGATAACTTTGTATAATAAATGTGTTGTCTTTTTCCAGTTAGTTCCTATTCGTTAGTAGTTTTCAAGAACTTTTTAAAATACGAAATACGTGTAAATGATGTTTTGGTATTTCTTTAAAACTGTCATACATATTTGAACCCAAGAAGACCCTATGAGTGTATATAACGGTTGATCCGTTTTGTGAAAAATTGCTCTACTTCTCTACCTACACTATAGGCGCGTGTTTTTGGCCTTCCATAACCAGGATAGCCATGGGCCAACTTCTCACGATTTGTTTTTCCTTTGAGGGAGTCGCTTGATATTTAAATTTCTAAGGGTATAGTATGAGAATAGGTCACTGAGAATGCTGAATTTTTATTTCAGTTTAGCTTTTACTAAGAAATCTGAGACTCAACCTGACAACGCCCTTTTAATAGAGGACCTTTTTGAAGTAGTTTGGCCTTTTAGGATTTAACTGGGTACCTAATAGACATGTTTCTTTTGAACTTTCTGAGTTGCAGACGTTTCACATAGAGCGATTCAAATTCAATTCCTTTTAGGGCGTTAGTTACAGTAAAGCAGCACTTCTTGCCGTGATTCAAATTCTAACAAAAGACTTTTTGTTTTGTCTAGTTTGAGCAAACCCTGGAGGAAGCTTCTCTTGCTAATGTGGACATCACTTGCGGAGCTGTGGCCTGGCTTCTATTCCATGTAGCACTTCATAAAGATGTGCAGAAAAATCTTACAGTTGAAGTCAAGAATTCCATTTCACGCGGAGTAAGTAAATATTTTAGCGAATACTTTTTCTTTTGTTGAAGCTGAGTGCAGCCTAAAAGAAATACCGGGAAGTCTGAGGAGTTTGTTTATTGACAATGTTTGTTTGTTTGTTTGTTTGTCTTCCCTTCGATAAAGCCAATACTTTATATTTGAAAGACCCGCAGAGCCTTACGATGTATTGAAAACAGAGTTCCGATTCCGCTTATCACTCCGTCGATTACGATTAATCGGGGAACGAGCAGTCAGCTTCTTTTTACACCCTAAAACACACAGTAACGTTAAAACTGAATGTGTTTTAAAAAAGTATCAGATATTTCGCGAATGCTTGCTCATTTTCTGACTGGCTTATAACAGATGGAAAAGCTTTCTTTGTGATTTTATAATTTCAGTTTTTAAATAACAAGAATTTTTGCCCGTGAGCAGGCTTCCTCACGAATGATGAGGGAGGCTATGAGCCTTTGACTGATGCCACGTGATAATAAAATTCAGGACTAGAATTTTTTTCCGAGAATGTCCAAATGTCTAAACGTCTTGTTGTGTTTGTTTTCTTATTCAAGTTTATTGTCTTTTCAGCTTTCAGAACCGTTAAGCTTAGAGACACTAACTAAACTGGATTTGCTGGGTAAGGTGGTAAAAGAATTAGCCAGGAAGAGGCCGGTAATGGTAATAAGCACTCCAGAATATGTGACTTGTCCAATGGTTATTGGGAATTTCCAAAGTCCCCCTGGGGTAAGTAGTGATTAGCGTGCAAAAGCAGGGCTCCTGGTTATTAGGATATCTTAAGGCCTCCTAAAGCGCGCGAAGAGTGTCCCCGCTTGCTTTAGGTTTTCGAAAGCTGTTTTTAAGGTTAGGTGTCATGTGACTTATCTTAGACATTCAAATAGGGAGCTTAAGGGCCTGTTTACAAGGGGTGGGGGAACCCAGGTAGGTGAGGTAACACGCTTAGGTGAGGAAAAACAATAACCCTCCTTTACATACAATCTTACAACCCCGCCATCCCGGGGTGCACTTTCTCACGATTATTGAATGGTCGCTAAGCACGTAAACAAGAAAAATGCTGGCAAACCACGTGTTTTGGTGGTTAATACTCCTCTACACTCACATACTGCTTTTGCTGCAACCTTTAGTGCTGTGGCTTTCTTTTGTTGCCTTTAAGAATGATGCAAAGCCACCGCCAAAGTGAATTTTGAGCGAATTTGACGTATCATGAATCCGACCCCGGTTAGGCAGGTTACCCCACCTTGGAAAGTTTACATGGCAAAATTTGACCCCTGCTGAGAGGGTTGGTTACCCGGCCTGGCAGACCGGGCTACCCGCCTTGGCGGGTCACCCCACCTATCATGTGAATGTGATCAGATTAAAATGAGAGATTATATGGACAGGCGGGTTACCCCAACTAAGAGAGTAACCTCACCCACCTGGGTCTCCCACCTCCATGTAAACAGGCCCTAAGCAATGACGACGGCAACAGCAACGAGGAAAGCAAAAACGCAATAGGTTGAATAGGCATACAAACAACTTTACACGTGCATCGCGCTTTTTTGTACACTGCACGCTGACAACGACGTGAAAATGCCTAATTTCATGTTTTGTGAAGGAAAGGCTTGGGAAATTATTAGGATTTGGACAAAACGCGCGTGAAAGTACGTGAACATAAGACGACTTTCTTTTCCTTTTCCTGAACGTTTATGCCATCTTTTAGAATTCAACTCCAGAATAGTTTCCCAGTATTTGATGAATTGAGCGAGATGGAATAAGCGCGATTAGGTTTGACGCAGCGTGAATTCACTTTTTAGTAACGTTTTCGAGCCGTCCCCTTGTTTGTTGCTTAAGCTCCCTAATATCATGACGCCGACCATTTATTCGCTTGACCAACGCACGAGTGATTATGCAGACGATGAAAAATGGTCAAACATATAACATTTATCTTGATTATGCTCATAAATCCAGGAAAAGATCGTTTGCACGTGACGTCGCGGCGGCCGTATTTGCCACTTTCACGTTGCCCATAATGCGCTTTGTTTTCCCTACAACATTTTACTTAAGTATTCTCTTCAATTTCTCTTGGGACTATTAATAATCTTCCCTTGACAAATTGAAAACAAAACTTCTGCCAAATTTTATGGGGACGTAAAAGTCGCAAATTGAGTACAAAAACAATGAAACGGCGGCCATGTTGATGTACCAACTCTTTCCTCTTTTAAAAAGTATATTTGTTGCGTGAAACTTGTATAGCCATTGATCACATGAGTAAAAATGATCTATATCAAAAGGAACTATCTATACATACAGTCATTTTTATATTTCCCCTACTGTACGTTTGTTTATTCAATTGTGCAATACATTTTTTTTAAACTAAAGAATTCATGGTCAATCTCGTAGCCAGGATCTTCTGGCTGTTTGACCAACGGGGCAAGACTCTAGATACGAGATTGATCCATGGTAGAAACATGATCTCTGACGATCATCATTGCCATAAGTTAACAAGAGTTTTCGAGATGATGTAACTGTTTTCAGCTACTTTCTGTAAATGTTTAAATGCCAAACACTTTTTTCGTTTGTCTTTAGGTCGAGGTATCTGTTGACAACAGCGCAGTCAATAGCAACACAGGAGTCTGGGGCGACACGGAAACTTTCAATCCCCGAAGATTTGATGACGAAACACCAAACATGCGCAAAAGCTTGTGTCGCTTCGGTATTGGACCGCGAAGGTGTATGGGATACCGGGTTGCAGACACCTTTATGAAAGTTTTACTGGTCACATTGTTGGAAAACTACTCTGTTGCCCTGGAGACGGACGTGACAGGTGATGATGACAGTGTACCCGTTCAAAAGGTTGGGCCATTTTGCTTTCCGTGCGTGGACTTCAAAGTTCAAGTTGCGCAGAAAAATGTTACTTCTTAAAAGTTACAAACATGACCTTTACTGTGCTCTAGAAAAAAAACTTAACATCATAAATACTTCAGATAATTAATGGCGACATCAAAGAACACGACAGCAAGCAAACGTTGGTACCAGTAATGAAATTTGGACAGGTTATTCAGACGAATTCTAACTTAGACCGCGGTTGAGGAAATCTTTGGACCTCTAAGTCTCTTCCTTAGTTGTTTATGGAGAAGACAAACGCTTCCCTGGTCTACGCTGTATGGTTTCATGAAACTGCTGACAGTAAATGGTGTATTGATAAAAGTATTTGGCAAACTGAAAATGGCTTAGAAGGGGGTTTTGTTAAACGGCTAAACTTCGTTTAAATAACTAGCCCTACTTGTTTTTCGAAGTCGCCATTAATTATCTGAAGGTATTTCTGACGTTACACGAGGATGTCTGTTAGGCACTAACTAGTCACACTTATTCTATGTCACCGTTGAGGACAAGTTTTAAGTTAAAAGTAACTGAAAAAAGATTAAAGAATTGATTAATTAATAATCAATTTATAATAAAAAGACTCAACTTCCCAAATCATTTTGTTTTTGCGCACTTGTTATCCAGTCAGACGCAATTGATATCGCTATAAAAATGCATCCCTTAATTGAATAACAGATTGATTCAGTGCATCGAAGTGCCAATTAAATTTAAGTTTAGAATATAGGATATAGGAGACGGATCTAGGGACGTGAAAAATAACTTTGAATAATATTACTTTCCGAATAGCCCTAGCAGTACAAACTCTCATGATCAGAAAAAGTATCTCCGCAAAGAAACATAGACTGACACTGTTTGGTCCCCTATTATTCCGTTAGATCGTCGCAGTGGAGAGCTCATTTTAACGACAGCGGCTATCTTGGTTAATTTTTCATTTAATACTTTTGAAACCAATCGCCCGTAATGTTTTTTGGAACGTACCATTACATATCACGTGACCTTCAATGATAACATAAAACAGCAAAGTGAACAAGTGCTTATCACTGTCCTGGGGGGATACTCCCTTATATGAGCCATACAGGTATATGCCGCCCCAAAGGGTATGGTTTTTACACCGTTTTGGTCTGAAAATGGGTATATACTTTGGCCATTGTGGTCTGGAATCGGTTATAGTTTTTGAAGAAACTACAGGAGTGTATGAACGTATTGATCGTTTCAATTCCAAATGAATAAGAAAGAAAGAGAAATATGCGAATTCGAAGTGGATTTTAATTAATATTTTTTTGTCAGTGTTCTAATCTAAGTAACTGGGATGACATAATTTCTTAAAGGCCCGATCTGAAAACGGGTGTGAAAAGTGACATTTTCTAGTCTTAAATAGGGTCAGGATTTGAAAACCAGTCGGTACACCCCCACCAAGAATTCCAAGGAGTACCCCCTAGATCACGGTCCTGAAGCTGAGGTAAGCACAGCTTACCTCAGGTTTGTGATGTTGGTAAAATTGAAAGAATGAATAAATGAATAAATAAATGAAGGAAGGAGGGAAGGAATGCATTAATGAATTAATTAATCTATTTATCACCTCTGATAAACGAATAAAGTCAATAAGAATAAACAAGAATTTGAGTTATAATCTCGAGAATATTATGGTTTTTGCTTCCTCTTTTTCTCTGAAGCATAAATATATAAGCGAATCTTTGCTGACGTCACTGTTTACAGTTTTCCTCGTTAGCATACGACTTAACTCATAGAAGCCGTAGCCGTATATGTGAACTAAATGCATGAGTTGAAAGAGCTGAGTAATTTGAGCAATTTGTGTAATTTTCAACTCTTTCCAAGCAATAAGAAAATATCAGCCATGCATTCTCTGTAAAATTTCTAGTTTCAGTTTGAAGAGAATTTCTCCGAAACCATTCGGTGTACTGGGCTCAAATTTTCAGAGATAACTGAAACTGTTATGCCCTTTCAATATTCAGAGTTTTCATTTTATTAGCGTCATCAGATAGTTATAAGCATATGTTAATGAGGCAAAAAGTGTAAACAAAGATTTGCCTATAGAAAGGTTGCTCAAATTGTAAAGGGAAAAAAACGGTCTTTCGTAGAGAAAAACTCTAAAAAAAAAAGGGAAAGAATTAATATAGGCGCGGCGCTAACTGGGAGTGAGTAAAAGGTCCCGACCTTGGGCCTAAGTCTCAGATTAAAGAACATGAAAAGGAGTGGTGGAAACAAACGGGAAAACACTCGTCTATTTTTATTTATCTTTTATCCTACGATCCTAGAGCCTGCTTTCCTTTTGGTCAGCACCTCAGGTGACACCTCCCCAATCCCCAATCACCTCAGCTTCCAGAAAAGAAACGGGTCAAAAATAGGGTAGGCTACCACGGTGAGTTTTGGCTATAGGGTGTCACAAATGCGTACGATATAACCATGGTTATAGGGTGTCACAAATGCGTACGATATAACCATGTCAAGATTCCCATATTTCTTTACACTATAAACAGTCTTGAAAATACTTAAATGTCTTAGTCGTTTATCGCCGACGTTTGAACGCAATTATGCATTTAAGCGAAGCTTGAAAATAATGTTTTAAGTAAATGGTTATTTTTAGCGTAAAATCGATTTACTTTCACCATGGAACTGTTCAAGGTTAATTTGCTTATTACACCATAAATAAAGAAATGAAAGGAGATGTACAATATTGTTACTTTTTTGCCGAAGTTTTTCTTCAACATCCTGTATCTAAAATACGTAATAAATATAAATAACTATGTTACGAGCAAACCATTCGGTTCAGGATTAAAACCCCGGCGATTTGCGGAAAGTTAAACTAGGACTGTATTAGTGATGGCCTAACCGAAGAGGACAATAAATTCTTATTGGCGTTGCGCCGCAAAGTGAAAATGATTAAACGATGATTTTCTGTTTCTGTCTGTCATTAGAAACGTAAGCTTTGCCACTTTTCTGTTCGGCTAGTACCTGAGAGTTATACCCATGAGTTCACAATTTATTCCACGTTTTTTTTTTAACAATAAATAGCTGTATATGTTGATGACAAAGTAAGCCGCTTACAGGGTAAGACTCCTTACTGTAAACCTGTATGGAAACCAAGAAACTTATATGTGGACACCGTCACTGGCAACTGGACAGTTTTCAACCGACACATGACATTTCACCATACACATTCGAATGGTCACAGCCATGGCCCTTTATTGGCGATTTCCCTCAACCTATTAAAATGGCTGCTCAGTCCAGTAAGCGGTAACCATGAGTTGGCCAGTGACCCCGAATAAGAACCTTTTCCTGCGATAATGTCATTGTTGTGAGCTACTATTCCTTAAAAGGTTTTAAGTTCCATTTTGTGGACATCAAAGTTGTGGGTTGCTGTTTAATTCCTTAATTGCTGATGCTACTTAATGGCAACTAAACAAACTTGGTTTTGGGAAGCCAAGTTCCAGCGAGATCTCTTGAATTATTCAAAGGGTCTTAGACACCTTATAGCGGACAATTTTCAAGTTTACACCTCTGCCTAAAGTGCTCTGCTGCCATAACAATAGTGATCGTTTTTATTACATATTTCACCACAACAAGTATTCTTTAGAATTACTCTTTCAGGTTTCATTGATTACCTGGTTCTACTGTTTACTTGAAAGACTTTTCCATGTTGAATAACTTCATGAAGAAGTTGAGGCATCGCAGTCGAGCTGGTCCGTTATGAGCTGTCTTTGTAACTTTTTCCGTCCACGCCAGCTGGCAATAAGTCAGGGATCACCGTTTATCGGCTTTTCATTACTAACACGAACATGTAATGATTGCTTAACCAAAAGCTTTTTCCGGGAAAAAGCTTTAACCGTGAAAGTGTGCAATGGCTTATGGTAAGTAAAAGCTGGCCTTCAAGGTAACTGATGAGTTCATTGCAGTAGCAGTATAGGGCACAAATGTAATGAAGAGACAAGTTTAATAAAGTTTGGTCAGCAAATGTAATAATGTAACAAGAGTAATAGGGTTTGGTCACAATAATGTCACAAGGGTACCTAGGGTAAATTCTCTTCACACAATCATCTTAAAACATTTGTTAAAAGGGCCGAAAAAATGAATGGGTACACGTAAAATATGCCCAGTGGTGAAGAATGGACACTTTCGAAACATATTTCACCATACATGCTTTTTATGTGATCTTCTGACTCCATCAAAGATTCTTGTCCTTTAAACAGGTTTGGTACACTTAGGAGACTTACTTGTAAGAGGCTAAGAAGTTCATAGCTGTTCTTAATTCATTGGAGTTAGTTTTCGATCATTCTAGATGGTAGCTCGTTTCAGTAAGGCGAGGCCCTACAGTGCCTTGTAGGGAACACCACGAGTTCAAAAATTATACGGCATAATTCTTGAACTCGTGGAGTTCCCTTCAAGCCACTGTTAAAGGTTCTCAACATGCCGTGGACATGTTATGTAAATCTTTGATTGGTGATGTTATCTACGAGAGGTTTAAGTGCCAAATAAAAAAAATACTACATTTGAATGTAAATAAGGTCAATTCTCGTGGAAATATGTTTTTTAGGAAAATCGAGAAGATAGCTTTGTAAGCAGCTCGAACGTTTGACTCATGGGCGTACGGGCCGGGGGGCGAGGGGGGCTGCAGCCCCCCCAAATTTTGGGCAACTCAGATTTTTTGGGCAGCAAGAGAAAATTTGGGTAAAGCCTGTTTTTAAAGACGTCTCCATGTTTATTTAATTATTTTGAAGACCTGAATATTAACCTGAAGTCGGCGTAATAATCCAGTTACATTCACACGAGACAGTAATCGCCTAACATGTGATGAGTAATTTACATATTTATTTTTTTGTTATTGTTGGGCACCGTACTGCACTGCGGTAGCTGGAATGCGCTATCCAGTCGCATAACTTTCTAGAATCATCTCCACTCGAAGAACAGGGTGGGTCTGAAGACTGAGGAGTGGCTGACTAATTCTCAGTTTGAATTACGAGAAGAATCTTAATTCTTTTAAAAAATCTATCGCTAATTTGTTAAAGTAGACCGAAATGTTT